CTTACTAGCGCCACGGGATTCCTGACATTTGATTTGTGTTGTTTGCCCTTTGTTTGGGTCTTGCATCATGAGAGAATCTTGAGAGACTGTTTTTAGGGTTATAAGGTCTGAATATACTGAAAAATAATGACTTAAAATGGGGTTGAGGTATCTTATATATGTCCATATGTCTTAAACCGCCTTTGTAGGCCCCATAGAGAGCAGCTTGGCGCACTCTCGCAAAAACGCGAATATCTCTCTATTTCGAGATCGTATCGATGAACGGTTTAATACGTTGGAAACTAGACTCATAGATCTTCAATTTAATAGTAGATCACCCCATAATTCCAAGCACATTGGGAGAAAAATGCAGTAACATTTGACCTAAAGTTTAAGTAAAATTATAAACCTAAGTTGCGATAACTTTTATCGACTTTTGTTTCATAACTTGCTTGACTTCAAGACTTATGATGCGGATATTATATGATTCAAATACATTAAAACAAGATCTTTTGGGACAGTTAATCACCTCTAGTGTTACCCGAAAATACGGGTTACAACATCCTTGATTCGTTTAACTTCTAATACTTGTTAACCACTCTTATACACCCTTGTATCGTTTAAGACCAATAGGATTAACTTCTTTTCATCTCAAAGATAATCTCTTCTTGGATTTACGTCGACTAACTTACGGCGTGATCTATGGTATGCGAATTTGGGTTGTAACACGTTCCTACTCGACAACTGTTAGAAAAATAGGATAATCAATGTCTCTATGCAATTTGTCATTTTTTAATAAATCTCAATACTGATCCTCCGTGCCTTGCAGGTAGTTAAGATCTTTAAGTGCATGATGAACAGCTAGTGCCTTTTCCATCTCTAAAATCCCCTTCATCAAATGCCAAATCACTTCTGGTTCGTCGTTGTGTGTGTTTGTTTGGAAGGTTGCAAACAATGCTTGTGGTACAACAACCCATGCTAGTGGCATAGTACTTCATAATCACACCTTTTTGAGTAAATGGGAACCTATTGTAGTTTTGCGCCCCAAATTCACATGCCTTCAGGCTTTGTAAAATGCACTTCGCCCTCACTAATGTGCCTTGCAACTTTGAGATCAGTGTGTATATTGATAGGGTTATTTTCTAAGGGATGTAGAACACCATACTACTTGTCATCAACTAAATCAGTATAGCAACCTAGTATATTATTTTCAAGGTAGGGATCGATTGTGTTATGACGTGTTCCATGTGGATCTATTGAACTACCTTCATCTTTTTGCCTGTTCTTAAGCCACTTAGTAAATGTTAGTGACATTTCTGAAATAGATGTTGTAATGGTTCTTGAAATGGTTTTTGAATACTGGAATGTTGGTTTAACTTAAGAAGAACTAAACTGCACGAACTTGTTTGTTAAACGTAACGCATTACCAATATGGTTATGTGTATTGTCATGTCGACCTAAAAAGCTATACCCACTTGTACCCTAAAAAATTATTAGCACGCAAAACATAGCGCATCACCAATGTGCTTTATGTGTATTGTCATGTCGACCTGAAAAAGTTGTCTACCTGAAAAGTTACACCCTTTTGTATCCTAAAGAATTATTAGCACGTGAAACGTAGCGCATAACCAATATGCGTTATGTATATTGTCATGTCGACCTGAAAAAGCTGTCGACCGGAAAAACTGCACCCATTTACACCCTAAAGAATCATTAGCATGCGAAAGAATCATTAGCACACGATACATAGTGCATCACCAATATGTGTTGTGTAACCTAAAATCACTCTTAGATGCCTACTAAAACCCCGCGCATTTTAGTTATTATTTGCGTTGTAACCAAACGAAGAAAACAACTTTCTATTAATTTTTCATTTTCAAGCATTACGACATGTTTGGACGACGTACCAAGGTGTTACTGTGGCAAACGTGCGATTTTGAAGCCATGTTAGTCAAATTGCAATCTAGGGCGCATACGTTAGATGTGTAAATAGGTTGTAAGTTATTATTATTGAAAGTTATGTTTGTTAATAGTTTTTATATAACATGTTAATTAATTATCTTTTGTTATCATCCCCATTGGTAGGACGAAAATCAATGTGGTTTTAAAGAATGGTATGATGAACCCATTAAGCAGGAATACTAGAAATTATGTGTGCTAAACATTTGGAACATGACCGGTGAGTACGAACTCCAGATCTTGAAACTGCAAGAACAACTTGTAGGAGTGAAGGAGAAACTAAAAGAGGCAGAAGAAGAAAATAATCAGTTGGAAGAAAAATTTAAGTGGTTGAAGCATAAAATAATATGCGATCGTGACTAAACAAATACATGGGTGCGTTAAGTATAGTTTTTTATTTTTATGTTGTACGTGTCATGTATTATCTTTAATTGTTAAGGAATTTAAATTTATGTTAAGTTGTCTTATTTTTTGTGTTCTAGTCTTAAACTAATAAATAATCCGAAAAATAAAAACACATGCGCAAATTATGTAAAACATCAATAATTTTGCTATTATATATTTAATGTCATATATACAACTCAGAATACATATCAAAGAGTCCCACAGTATGTATTCTTTAAAGCAATGGCTGGTCTGAGGCGCATCCCATCCGGCGCGGCAACGCTATCAGGATCATCCTTATCACGTTGCCTCTTTATCGGAGGATGTGCTGCAGCGTGATCGTCAATAAGGCTGGCAGCCTCGATAGAAGAAGCCGTTGGGCCATTAGTAACCTATAGAATAATAAGATATTTTAGTATCTGAAATATAGAATACTAACGTACGCGTTAGCAAAAATATTTAATAGTCATACCATGGTCTCAGCGTGCTCCTGAATAAGATCATTCGTATATGGCAAGTTAGTATCACACAATGTGGCCTCCGTAATGGGCGATGATGAAATCTTTAAAAAAATATAAACACTTCAGATATTACTGACCAATCTCTAAGGTAAAAACAAATTGAAATAATAGTAATACAAACAAACTTGTGCCTGAGTAGCGACACAATGCTCTATCGGAATATCGAGGTGTACTGGAGTAGATGAAGGCTATGGCGTCTCGCCCCGATGTGATGTATCCCTATCTATGCCTGAAAGATCCTCAGCAGCCTTCGGTGATGAGCCATAACTTAGACGTCTCCCACTATGAACATCTCATATCGGACGATCAACAGCAACTGTCGATGGTTCTGGACGATCAGGAAAATGCTGATCCCACTTTTGCTGCGTAATGGCCGTGCCCGTGATCAACACTGGAGCTGACAGGGTCACCTGCAAAGTCCTTTGTGACAGTTGAAGGATGAATGGCGGCAGATCATAAGAAGCATCGTGTGGCTCAGGGTAGTCACCCGACTGATCAGCTACAATATCCTCCACGGGTGCCTCAACGCCCCCTTGCTGGGGACCCCATCTTCGCCGACCACTACGACCACGTGGGCCACCCCTTCCTCTCTGGCCACTCCTTCCACGTCTACTACGTTCAGGGTCTACTTGTGGCCCATGATGGTACTCCTCGGGCGGCACATAAGCAGCCTCGTATCCTAAGGGCCCATCCTCTCGGGCACGTCTAAATGTGTCAGCACCAAGATCAGTAACCCGACGGCCAAACCCTGGACAACTACCGCTCCTTCGCTTGTATGCTGTAGCATCTCCAGTCCCAACTGGTAGAACTGGTGTAAGCCAATAGCCTGCATAGCATATAAAATATTAATTATAGAAGGATAATGTAACATTATAAGTAAGTATAACAAATAACATACCAGTGCCTCATGCCTCCCGGTGTATGGGATGTACCGACCACCAATGCGATGAACAGGATTACCGGCGAGAATTCGGGTAACTCTGCGATACCAACCCATGTACTCATGCTCGCCGTCCAAATGGTCTGGTGGAGGGTGTGGCGGAATCAGGCTATACCTCTGGTCCTAATCTTCTATCTGGGCCCCATATACAGAATTATACTTTTGTATAAAAGATATGGCTTTCTACGAACGACACCCTATCTTCTATACCTACAGAATCCCGTGGGTGCAGCAAGAGGTAATAAGGGATGAGAGGCTACTCTTCAAGTGTACAAAACTCTTCTTAGTTCCATCTAAAACTCTCTGATTTCTCTCTCTTTGTATAGCCTGTTGTGGATACCACCAACATCAATACATATAGATCGAGGTCAGAGTAATAAAGCAGACATAAAAGGTTACAATTTAGGATTAAGGAGGTCTATGTTGACGAGCTTCTAAAGAATGAACACCTGATTAAAATTACTGATGTGATACAGAACAACAGCAAGAATTCTATAAGCTCCAGATTTCAGTTGATGCAGACCATATACTGCAACCAGCTTAGGAAGAGCATGATTGCACTACAAAAATTTGCAGCATTAGTCATAAGGTATACAAAAATATATATGATTCCTCACCAGGATTTCCCTTATTTTTTTCTTCTAATTCAAATATTTTCTAGGTATATCCAAGACAAACAGAACGAAGAAATCTAAGAAGCAATGGAGTTGTGAAGCCACCAAAATAATTTGGTTTCTTTACAGTAGAAGGTTTTAATAGGAAGAATGGAGAATGTAATACACAACTTTTTTTAAACAAAAAATCAATTACCTCAGTCTCTATTTTAGATGATTCCAAAAGCTGCCTTCCATCTGAAGAAGAGCAAGCAGCTCGCTGCAGGAAAAGAGACACAAAGATAGTATGAATAAAGGGGAATTCAGCATAATATTATTTTAAAAAGCATAAATTAAAGATAATTAGGCACCATTAACAATAATGCTCTGCGTCCCATCACAGGAACTTTCCCCAAGGGTCTCAATCCCATGGCAACTGTTGTTGACGTGACAGGACCTAGGGTTAGCAATTTAAATTCAAGTTCAACACAATTTAAAGTGGGTCACGGGCCTTAAAGTGGGTCACGGGCCTTTTAGTGGATAATAATCGTGGGATTAGTCGCGGGATTATTTTATCCCACGTTTGGTTGAATTTATGAATCCGAGATTAGCNGCAATAGATACCCAAAAAATATTGAAAAAGGAGTTTTTGGAATTGAGTTAAAAATTGTATTTGAAAATTGAAGTTGTGTTTGAACATTTGCTTTACTTAAACAAAAGTTGATGTTTTGTGAGTGGAGAAATTTAACTTTTGAAAAAACAAAAATTCAAAAAATCTCCAAAAACTAACAATATTTTAAGGCCAAACAAGTTTTTCAAATTCATTTTGAAAAAAAAGCAAAAATTTTGCATGACCAAACGTGGACTTAAATGGGGCGGGGTGGGGAGGGACATGGCAAAATATTAATGAAATTTCAAACGGAGTAGGGGAGTAAAATTGGAGTGCTTTTAAAATAGGAGTAAATTTGAATACTTTGCTAACGGTAGGGGTATATATGTCCCGATAGCATAACGGAGGTAAAACGTAAATAATATTTGAACCTATTAACTTTTTTCGAAATCGGTGTTTGGCCATAAAATTTTCAATTTTCACTTGAAGATAAATTTTGGAATTTTTCGAAAATTTGAAAAACTCCAAAAAATTATTTTTCAAAATTTTCACTCACAAAAATTAAAAAACAATCCAAAATTATATTCATGTCCAAACACAACTCTAATTTTCAAATATCATTTTCACTTGAAATTTTTTTTCACTTTTTTCGGAATTTTACAATTCTTATGTCCAAACGCCCACTAAGTATATTCGACACTTTTCCCTATGTGAAATTGTTTATTATAGATTAGCATATTCCTCTACTACTACTAATATAAACTCGAACCCCTGAACACTGACCCCCACCTTGTACCGGCGAATTCGAACCCAAGTCCTCAACCCACGAATAGCAAACCCTGGACGCCCCGAACCGCGAACTTCAATCACGGACCTTGACCCCGGACCCTACCTCAGACCCTTGGACCAAGAACCTGAATCCCAGTTTCGATCTCTGAACCCTGAATTCTAACCCCGACACCTGATCCTTATGCCCGGCCGCCACCGATCAACCTCGATCTAACCCTAATAATAATTATTTTTTGTGTCACGTAAAAATTGTGAATCCTAGCTAAACCCGTCACTGTCTTAGAAATCCAATCCATACAAAACCACAAACCATAATCATACATAAATATGCAAAAAAAATAGATAAATTCCTACAAATCTAATCCAGATACTACAAAATCAGAGCATACATGACTATGCAAAAATAGTTAATAAAAAGGAAGAATTGAGGAGGGGGAAGTGGAACTAACCTTAAGGCGCTTTTGAGCGAGTAATCGATCTCCATGATGGAATAGAAACAAAGTAAGGATTCCTGATGGGGAATTTAGCGTGAAAAGAAAGGCCGTCGAAACCGACCTTCTTAAGATCCACATAGGTGATGTTATTCTCTATTTCTCCGCCACATAATTCTTTGCCTTGCCTCCGTTGAATGGGTGAAGTAAGGTGAAGTAACTAGTTGGTTGTATGATGCTAGCCTCCGTTTTCTCCATGTTCCGATCTTCTCTACCAGATCCATGCTCCTTCTTCTTCTCTTTGTTGAATTGGAGGAAACTGAAGTAAACACTACTCCAAGCACACAGTAACAGGGACTAATTGATTCTATAGATGCACGGAACATAGAAGCAGAGAAATTATGCAACTCTCGTAATGAAGTAATACTAGCGTTAGCGTTAGTGTACTTGCTTCGTGTCAATTAGTATAAAATATATACAAAGAAAAATAAATTGTTGTATACATTGAAACAATATCTATAAATAAGATATAAATATGTCATGTTGTTGTATATCGTCTAATATCTCTTTGGAATACAAGTAATACAAATTTCGACTATCAATTAGACCAATGACAGTATTATATTAGCTCACAATTTATCAAAATTGTTATTTTATCAAAATATTATAAACCTTAACTACTGGATATAAATATTTTACCTATTGTTTATTCAATGGATGCGTCACTACATCCCCAAATATATATTTTTTGAAATTCTAGTGGACTAAATAATACAATTTTTCATAAAACTTCAGTCACCTAATTAGTCCAGCATTCAGGAAGCCGTTCTTTAAACAAATTTTCTTAGATCTTTATAAAATGATATTAATTGGTGATAAAATTTATTTTTTGTAACCAAGGTACATAATATTCGTTCATATAGACTCAAAAACCTTTCCAGCTTTGTATCAAAATTAAAAGACAACATAATTCAATTATCTTGTCTTAAATGATATGGCGTTGGTAAATAGAATATGGTTATATGACATTGATAAATAGAATATGGTACTTGATGTATTTTTGTTGGACAATTAAATCAGCGTATAATTGTTGATTTTAAATTCTTAAAAATATTAGTTAATTTAAAGGTCCTAAACCTAATTGAAGTAATTAAATAACTTTTTTGGTCTAGTGTGAGCTCTAATTTTAAAAGGGTAAAAAGAAACGGACACATTTTGCAAGGGACTTTGTACTTTTAATATAGTATAGATTTTTAAGTGTAAGATTTACATGCAGTAAACTCTTAATATTTTTAAAGGTTTTATAGGAATTTCTACATAATTCAAATAAGAAAGATTTTAATGCATAAAATTTTAATTCATTTAAACTGTTAAATATTTAAAAAAAATTAATTGACTATTCAATAAATTATTTCTTATAGTACTTGACACATATTCGAAGGACGGGCAGTTTTTGTTTATTAATAAATGGGGAAAAAATCGTTAGTTTTACAATCTTCTATTCTAGGAAAATATTAATTCATTAATAGTAGTATTTAATTAGTACTGTAGAATTAAGTAAAATATATATAGGTAATGTATCCCTTGTTAATGAAAGGATATGGGAGAAAACGTGGCAAAAGTATTATGTTGGTATTTTTTTAAGCGATTGATATAAGGTAAAAATTTAATTAATTTTAAAGTACTAAATATTAGGATTGTCTACCTAGTTTAAATAAGGAAGGATTTAATACATAAAATATAGTAATTAATTTTCAAGTCCTAAATATTAGGAAAATGATTTAAATGACTATTTTGTCTAGTGCAAAAATTAATTTTTAAAGGGTAAAAAAAGCGAATGATATTTCGCTAAATACCTTCGTGTTTTTAATATAATATAGATTGATAGAGAAAAGTAGAAGGGAATAACGAGATAGACATAAACGAGTTCTTGACCAATATTGTCCTTTGTCTTTGAGGTAGGTCTATTTTGGTCCTTCAAATATAATCCTAAGCATATTTAATCCCTTAAGTATGCTAAAGTGGAGCACATTTAGTCTCACTGACACAATATATTTAAAAACTAATGGTGTTACCCAACTCTAATTTATGAAGCAAATCTTCTCCTCTGAAACAAAATGTTTCCTCTCCTTTTATTGAATAACGCAAATCATCACTTTAAATCCTCATTTTTTGATAATGTCTTCTAAAATTTTGACCTTGAAAATATCCCATTATGTACCAGTTTTCAATGAGAAATCAAAACTGTATAGCCGCTGTAAAAATAATAAACGAAAAAATATATGAAATTTGTATATATTTTTTTTGTGTATATATATATAT